TCCCTGTGGCAATGGAATACATACATGTTCTAAAACGGACCATGGTCATGGCTGCACATACCTGCGAGCACACTAAAGCCCACTGACTGGAGCACTCTAAATGGGTGAATTGTATGGTATGCAAATTATATCTCAATAAGCTATTAAAAATCTATGTAAATGACTCTTTAGTTCAGCAGGGCCTATTTATTAAGCACCGAATACATGCCAAGCACAGTGTGAGGCGGTGGGAATTCAAAGATGAATCTGACAGGGGTTCCCGAAGAGTTCCCGGTGCACTTCGAGGAGCAGGAACCGTACAGAAATAGGCACAGAGGTAGAACTAGGAGGCAGTGACTGTAACTGGGGTTGAGGAACCAGGAAAGCTTTAGACAGTTGCTACCAGGGCAGGTTTTGAAGGAAAGTTTGAGTTTGACAGATAGGTGGGGAGCAGGGTGGGAAGAACAGGGTGTTCTGGGAGTCTCGGGGGGTTCAGAATTGCAAGATGAAGAGTGAAAATGTTGGGTGAGTAGGTAGGGTGAAGGCACGTGGAGGTGCGGTTGGAAAACGAGCAGAGGACGGTGAGGAAATGGGATTGTCGTGCTGAGAAATGTTCAGGTTTCCCTCTGGAGATTAAGACAGAGCCAATAAAAGAGGAGCAGAAGAGTGGCCCATGGGTCAAATCTGGAAATGGAGGTTTTGGAAATATGGTTTTACTGGAACATATCCAGGCTCATTTCTTTGCTTGCTGTCTATGGCCACTTGCCCACCAGAACGGCAGGGTGGACCAGCTGCGGACAGGCTGCATGCACTGTAAAACCTAAAATATGTGCTATCTGGCCCTTAGAGAAGAAATTCACCAACCCTGGTTCTAGAAACAGCACTGAGGCTGGTTTCACATGGGTTAAGACCAAGGGAAAGGAGGCCATTGAGGGAACTGGCCACTCTGCTGCCATGGGCAAAACTGGGTACGGGCCTGACATTGTGCTGACAGATGATGGAGGGTTGGCAGGTGGCTAGGGAGGTGGGCATGGCTTTGAGAGCTGCCAGAAAGAAAAAAAATACACATGGGGAATATCAATTTAAGAAAAATCAAAAGTACCTCTGAAAAGGATTAAAGACCTCACAGGGCTGCACTGGTGTCTAAATTTTAGGTTTTTCCTTCTTAGTCATTAAAATGCTACCTAAACATCAGGTTTAGCAGAGAACTCTCAGACAGACCACCTGGGATCAAGGCAGCTTAAAGGGTTTTAAAGATACCCTTACAGGCAAGCTGGAGCAAGTCTAGGTAACCTGTCTAGAAGAGTCTTTTTCTCTTCATGGATAAAAACCAAAGTCTGTCCAGATATGTGCTTGGGATTGGTGGCATTTGCCTACACACACTATTGGGGGGCTGGAGTTTACTTTAAAAATGTACTTTATTCAAATTTATATTTGTACTGGTTCTATAAAAGCTTTAGAAAGAGATCTAGGAAAGCAACTGCCTTGATCCTCGAGCCCTGCAGGAGCTCTGCAAGGCTGCGCTGCTTACACCACGACATCAGTGGTCCCTGGGCAAGGCTGGCGGTGGCAGGAGTTCATGGATCCAAGTTCAAGGACAATATAAAGGAGCTGAGCAAATTAAGCTGTTCACAAGTCATCGATGTAAGTTATCTTCTTTCTCATAAAGCACGTTTTACAGGCAAGTGACACGATTTCCTCAGAGGACATGTAGTACTGTGCTGGCAACACATCAAGGGGACATATGGGAGTGGTTGCCATGGGGCGTCCACTCGGCCAGCTGTGTCTGCTGGCCTGACAGAGGTTTCAACAATGGAAAAACAAATCACCATCCACATATAAAATGATAATATAGTATTAAAGGTATTCCAAGGGGAGGGGACCTAAAAGCCGTGGGCAAGAAGAACTTAGCTGTGACCCTAATCACAGCCATTAGCCACTGAGTTAGTTCTTGCTCCACACCTGTATCTGCCACACACAGCGTGCCCACGTAGATTGTTTCTGCTGAGGGAAACACAAAGGATTTTTAAAACTCTGAGCAGAAATCTTATCTAAACTGTCACCATGACGCTTCCTTGCCCTCGGACAAGTGGCTGTTCTGAAAGGGTGGTCCTGGTGTATAAAGGCTTCTCAACATAGGTGGTGGGGCAAGACCAGCCAGCATGCCTGACCAGGTGTGTTCCTTGCCACCCATGCACTGTGCTCTGCTCACCAGCAGGCACAGCAGGGATGCCTAGGGCAAGGTCTGAAAACTTGCTTCAACACATGGACACAGCTGGGGACTTAGAAGATGAACAGTGCAGCTGAGGCCGAGTCTCCCAGACATCCGCTCAGCTCTGCCTCTTCTGCCCAGTCGCCAGTGCTGCTGGCCTGTGGCCTGGGGCAGGGCGCGCTCCAGCCACACCACCTGACCCTCCTGGCCCGCCCAGGGTCCAGAGCACAGGTGGGCCTGTGTGACACTGCCATGCAGACTGACCTCGAGGTCTTTCCCCCAAGGGAAACGAAGAACAGTGATTACCAGCTGTTCTTCTGAATCCAGGCAGGCCCGGGAAGGGGGGAACTAGACCTCCTCACACCCCAACACTGTGGAAGGAAGGAAGCTCTGAAGCTGCTGATGTGGCCTCACCTAGAAATCCCACCCCCGTGGAGACAGCCCACTAGTTAAGGGGGAGGTGGACGCACGGCTGCCAGAAGGTGGTGTGGTTAAGGTTAAGGCTTTGCCTCTTTTGAGTTCTGCTGTTGAATAGTGGGATTGGAGGAACCCAAATAAGGAATAAATACGATGTAAATAAATTATAAAAATCAACAAAACTCAGATCAACTGTAAAAGGATGTTTTTGGGGAAATTAGGAACATTTTAAATATGGACTGGGTATGAAATGATCCCAAAGAATGATTGGTAATTTTCTTAAGTAAAATAATCTCGTAATGTTTATTTAATATTATATGTTTAGAGATCCCGCTGAAATACATAGGGATGTAATGATTTGATGCCTGGGATTTGCTCTGAAATAGTTCAGTGAAAACAAGAGAGAAAGGGATGGGTAAAGCAAGGGTGGAAAACCAGCTGTTGGCACTGAGGCCTTCTCTCCACGACTGCGCATATTTGGAATTTTTCAGAAAAATAAATTTTAAATAAACAATGCAGCATTTTCTGGAACATCAGAAGGCTCCACGGAGTGCCATCGATGGCCTTGGGAGAAGGCAGGAAGGGGCCGGCGAGGAGCGCTGAGTGGAGGAGACAGGGCGAAGCGGCACCGCGGGTTTCATCCGCTCTGCAGGCAGGCGGCAAGCGCAGGCTCTGTCTCCACACCTAGGTTTCACAGTCAGCTCTGCCACTGACGGCTGGGTGGCCTTAGACCACGTCACGTTTGAACACAAAGTCCCAGGGATTCAGATGTGAGCGCACACACCATTGAGACTCAATCCCCAGGGGTCCATGGGGTGCGTGCATGCATTTTGCCATAAGTTTCATGGGCACTCCAGGGACAGACAGTAGGGACCAGGAAGGGGAATAGGACAAGGGGGTGGGGGAGATGACTAATTAGCTAAGTCAACAGCCAGTGCCTCAATCCTTTCATCTGGGAACTGACCAGAGAAAAATGAACATTTCATCTTCCTCCTAAACGCCATCCCTGACCATGAAGTTCACAATAGACCATAAATAATGCCAAATAATTCCACTCAGAATGACAAATAGGCTTGGGGTCTTCCAGGACAGACAGGCTAGGGGTGGTGTAAGAGATAGGCGTTCGAGATCCACACTGACTAACCCGGTGGCCTTGATCTCCAGCATTTGTCCTCTTCCGCAAAAAGAAACGGTTGGACTGGTCTGCACAGTTCCGAGATTTTAGAGGACGAAATTAATCTGGGGCATGTTCCCGGTTCTCACTCACGCCTCCCCTCTCATCAGGGCTTGAGGTTTCCTAGACACGAGTAGTTAGTTAGTCCCCTTCCCCTGCGTAGTCCCACGGCCGTGTCCCCTCACCTCGCCCCCCGCTGGTATTTGGTGACGTTTACTGGGGGTGGGGGTGATAGAGAGAAAGGAATCTCAATCACGCTCGTTTCTTCCAATCATTTCTATTCCGCGCCGCGCCACTGTACAGCGACACCTCAGGCGTGCCGCTAAACCCCAGCTTAAAACCCAGCGCAGTGACCAAAGTGCCTGCGTAAAAGTTGCCGTCGCAGAGGACAGCAGGAGTATCTCGCAAGACTAAGACTAGCTCTACCTCTGAGCAATCCTGCACGCACAACCCGACCCATAGATTTGTTTGTGCTGGTTCTTTCCTACTCCAGGGCCTCTCTGTCATAATGGCAGGAGAGGCTTCCAGGTCCCCGCACTAGCCAGGGTGACTTGGGAGTGCACACCTGGCATGCAAAGCGCACCTCTCCACCCACAGAACTCAGGGGGTTCGGGCGCTCAACCGAGACCTTACTGGAAGGCTGAGGAGAAAACCCAGTTCCAAGCATTGGGCACTGGAGTTCCCAGGCTCAGCCCCAGTGACCCACGCCCACACCCTCCTCCAGTCTAGTGGACTCAACATTTCCAGATCTGTGGCTCAGTGCGATCCCCGTCCCCAGCGCACCCACATCCCTCAAAGCCAGAGCTCCGGGCACAAGCACAGCCCCAGTGTCCCTGGTCCGTCGCTGCCTCCCCTGCGCACCTATTGCACACTCAGCCTGGACTGGCACTATCCTGCCTGTTTGCCGGCGCCCCGGGCGGGCAAGGAACCGAACGCCTCACTCCTTGGGGTGCGCCAGTGGCATCGCCTGACCCTGCTCCAGAGAGGTGGGGCTGGGTGGGTCCGCCCGAGTGGGAGGAGGCATCCGCTTCCTTGCACACCCCGAATCTCTCAGCGCAAAAAGCCTTCACCATGTGTGCCGCCGTCCCGACCCGGGAACCCCAAGTACAATGAAGAGACGACTTCGCGGGGAGTGGAGTCTGCAGACCCCGCGAGGACGCTCTCGCTTCCCCTCAAACCGCTGCCCTCCCTGGAGGCCACAGGGCGCAGCGCTCTTACTTGGTAGAAGGGGTCGCCCTTGCTTGGCTGGGGCCAGGTTTTCCACCGTGGCCCCTGTCCGCGCCCACGCCGCCGAGCCGCTTTCCTGAGCAGAGGGCGCAGGGGGGTGGCTGGAGAGAGAAAGGTCGGAGATCTGGGAGCAGCGGGCTGAAGTACCTTCTTCACGCTTTTCCCGGCACTTTTAACTGGAGTCGGACGGCAAACCCCTCCCCGGACCCACCCTCTCCCTGAGCGCGGCCGCCGCATTGGCCCGGCCTGTTGTAATTGGAGAGCGGTGACTCCCCGGGCGAAGGCTGTGTCCGGAGACTGCGCGGTAGTGGCGCAGCCCTTGGAGGCTCTTCCCGCCCGGGTTTCCAAAGCCTGAGAAGCTGGGGAGGGGAGGGCGGGACCTGGGGTGGTGGGGAGTCTTTTCTCTAGAAGGTTCCTTTACTCCTCACCTCTTCAATGTTGCTGAATTTTAGCCTGTGATGTTCTTCTCACCAACATTAAGGTGGAGACTAATCCAGCTCCCTGTCCAGAGAGCCAAGCACTGCCTGGCACATAGTAAACACTCATTAAAAACTGATAAATGGCCTTGGCTGGTGAAGCTCAGTGGACTGAATGCCTACTTGCAACCCAAGAGGTCGTGGGTTCGATCCCCAGTAGGGGCATATGCCTGGGTTGTAGGGGGCAGGTGGGTGGTGTGTGAGAGGCAACCAATCAATGTTCCTCTCCTCTCTTTCTCCCTCTCTCCCTCCCTTTTCCGGTATCCAAAAATAAATAAATAAAATCTTAAAAAAAAAACAAACCTGATAAATGAAGGAGTTCAGAAACTTTCATCCATCTCTCCTTGGTTTCTCCTCAAAGGGGAAAATGGATTCCAAAAATGAAACAGCAGCCTCCTTTCACGCAGCAGATCACACCTCTGGCCTTTGCCAAGTCTCTCTCTCCCGAGGATCCATTCTCTCCTTTGTGAACTAAAGGCTCTGGTCTCAGGAAGCTGGCCACCGCTTCTACCAGGCCCAAGGGGGCTTGAGAGTGAGAGGGCAAGGGAGGGGAAACAGAGTCTGAAGCCTCCCTCCCTCCTTCCAGGGGGTGGCTTGGGGGAGGAACAGTAGTTGCCTTCTGGCTCCACAGTGACCAGTAAGGCACAATCCCTGGGACCAGTCAGAGCCACTGGCGGTGGAGGCTGTTTGGGGAAGAGACAGCTTTAAAGCAAGGCTCCAGTCTGTGAGCCTCTGTGCAGACTGAACCCAGAAGGAGAACCGTCAACAGCCAGGTCTGGACCCTCCCCCCCTCTTCCTCAGCCCTCTGCCCTCACTCCACTCCACTCCCTCCCTAGCTAACCCACACACCTGGGGCTTCCGATCACAGCCTCCGCTCAGACTTCTCCCTAGATTTGCAAATCCACTGGAATCATCCCGGCTCTCTGGACATTCTCATGGCCACAGCTAACCTAGCAAGCCCCAAACTTGGCACCTAATTCACAGCCCACCCCAATGCCTGTGAAGTCTGCCAGGCAGAAATGGGGTCTTCTCAGGGCCCTCCTCCTTAGCTGGCTCACTGAATCGATCCCCTGGACTAGTGGGCAGTGGAGGCACAGGCAGGAGGGAGGTGGGCGGGGCTGTAAAGGTTCCTGTGGAGTTGGAACTGTTCAAAATCTTAGCTGCAGTGGGAGGTGCACAGGTGATAACCTACACAGGTGATAAAGTTATAGAGAACTTAATACACACACACGCACCAGTACAGGTAAAACGGGAAATCTGAGTAAGATCAGTGGATTGCCTCTGTGTCATTGTTGTCCTATAGGCTGTAATGTTGATCTATAGTTTTGCATCATGTCACCATTGGGGGAAAATGGGCAAAGTGTATGAGGGATCTACCTGTATTATTTTTTACAACTTCGTGTGAATCTACAATTACCTCAATAAAAATTTCAACTGAAAAAAAAAAAAACAAACCCAAACCCACAGTACCTCTGGGACCCTCAGGCTGTAGCCTGAACACTTCCATACAGCTGACAGTCCGTCTGCAGCCTGCTCATCTCCCAGCCGCATCCTCCCCTCTCCTCCACAGGCCCTGCATGCTGTTCTCCAAGCCTCCTGTGTCACACCCAGGGCCTTTGCACACGCCATTCTCCCGCCTGTCTGCCCAGCAATACCCAGTTCCTTCAGATTTGGCTCTACCTGCCGTCAACACCTTACACAGAGTCTGCACATAGCAAATGCTCACTAAATGCCAGTGGAGCTGTGCACACGGTGTAGAGTGCACAGGCTGCACCTGCAGCCTGCGCCTGCAGCCTGCAAGCTGCTTCCGCACCCCCGAGCCCTGTCCACAGGGGCCCTGGTGCCTGCACACTGGCCCCAATCTGCTCTTTGTGCGTAAATTCACAGAGAAATACGAATGGCTTAACAATAGAAAATGGTACTGGAACAGAGGGAATACTCAATTTTGCACGGGGAGCTTTGGCGGATGTTGTTTACTCTAGTCTTCCTGAAATTGGGACAAAATTGAACAAACAAGATGAGTTTGGTGCTTTTGAAAGTGAAAGCTGCTGGCGAACTCTATTCTCCTCTAACAGGAAAAGTAACAGAAATTAATGAAGCTCTTGCAGAACATCCGGGACTTGTCAACAAATCTTGTTATGCAGATGGCCAGCTGATGAGATGACACCCAGTGCCCTTCAGAACCAGAAGAACCTACGAGTGAAGGAAGGAGTATCTGAGACACACCTGCAATCTGCCGAGAAGTGGAAATGGCAGCCCCTAAGCGAAGCAGGGTGAAATAACTGAATCCAGCATAGTTGTCTTAAACCAGTAATAGGCAGAAGTTTTAAAATAGTAACTTTTAGTCATACCAATGAAAAAAAGAAGCTACAACAATGCTATTGGAAGAAAATACCCTTTAACTTTCCAATGATTGTTGATAAACACAATTAGCATCTTTTTTACAACACCCTATGATTTGTAGGCTAGGCTACTGTTATAATACTCAGGATTCCTGAAGTTATCTGTGGTTTGGTCTAGTTAGAAAAATTATGTGCCGCTATTTCAAGGGTAACATTGTTATCTTAAGGCTTATGTAATACTGTAACTTGCTTACATCAGTCTCTGGGTTGGGGTCAAAGCACTTAATCAGCTTTACATTGGAAATAATTGGCAGTGGAGGAAACGTTGGTGAGTTGTTACGGTGTCGGATGATAAACCAAACTTAAGTTAAGCAATATACTAACTTGCTGATGCTGTTCTCCTGCAGTGAAGCAGAAGCCCTGCAGGAAAACAAGTTTAATAATAAAACATTCAACTTCTTCATTAATCATTTTTTTGTTTTGGTCTTAACATTTAGTGACTCTGCTAGTATTTGTGAAGATGCTAATTTTAACTTATGAAAAGTTTTCTTTTAAAGGAAATTAAAGCCATAACAATGAAAGTAAAAAAAAAAAAAAAGCCAGTGGAATGGAGCTCTGTCCTCTCCCCTCACACTTTTCTCTAATCTCTCCACTCCTAGTCTTATCTTTCCTGCTAAAGCATTAACCAATAAAATGAAAAGAACTTTGTAAATAATGTTTTGCCTGATTCTGGAAAAAAAAGCAAACTCCTTGTGGAAAATTCGTGAGTAAATAAACACATAACATTTCGGAGTATTTCCTTCAGGATATTTTTTTTAAACCAAAGTAGATAGTATTTGTACCCAGCTTTTTCAGTTTTTAACTATTTCATTTTGTGTGCATTTTCCAATGTGCTTTTCATGGTTCTAGACAGTTCAGAGTCTAAAACGGCCTGGTTCTGGGGCATCATTTCCCTACGGTTAGACAGCCAGTTGTTTACAGCTTTTTACCAGCATGAAACACACTGGGACGCTTATCCGGAGAGCAACATGGATCGAGCAGCTATTACATGGTTTCCGCTAATTGTTACAGAGTAGAAAGCCGAGACTCAGAGACACCAGGTAATTTTCTCAGAGCCACAAAGCTGGTAAGTGGTCAAGCTGGAGAGGTTAAAGGGTACCCGACCCGTCCTGCAAGTACTCAGTGGACGCACACTGCAGGCCTCAGCAAGTACCTCTGTACCTTACCATGCCCGTCCCAAGAGAAAAATGAGTCTTCAGCTTCGGCTTGCTCAGGGTAGTTCATTGACGTGCTGTTGTTGAATTGAACCGAAGACCCGGGACACTACCTGAGGAAAGCAGCAGGCCTCTGCTCTAGGTGAAATAAAATCACGACCGTAGGCTTTGTGTCCGTAAGTTTAGATGTGCCACCACGCGTCTCCAGCTCCTGTGCCGCTGCAGAGGCAAAACCACACCGTGGATTCAGAGCATGCTTCCGCAGTCAGAGGACCTGAGTTCAAATTCCACTCCCCTTGAACGAGGGCACGGCACTGGGTGAGGCAGAGCTGGAAGGGAGGCAGCAACCTCTTGCCCGCCCCCTCTTCGTCCAGGGCCACAGGGGTGACTTCTTAAGAACGCATTCCAGGATGTGAGGACTGTAGGGTTCTATCACAACCTTCTTGTGGGAACCCCTTATAGAACTGCTTGGGGCCAATTCACACTTTCTCCTAGGAGGCAGCGCCCCCTCGTGGTCCACATCTCACATTGCATCGCGCGTTTGCAGTTTTCAAGGCCAAGTTACAAAACTAACAGGTTTTAAGAGAACATTCTGTCCAAGCATCTGGCTTACGGACGTGGAACCAGAAACCCAGAAAGCTGTCGACCGGACCGCGGCCCCACGGCAGGTTGGCAGCAGTGCTGGAACCAGATCCAGATCCAGATCGAGATCCCCCAGCCCGCAAGGGAATGCCATATCCGCTAAGAAGGCACAGTGGCAAACTGCACGCGTGCCCTCAGGAGCTGGTAGGATTCCTCCGCCTTTTCTCCAGGAAGCGCTTGTTTTTATATTTAATAGCACGTCCAAGGGTACAAACAATTTATCTGGGGGGCTCAAAGGGTCTCATAGCCTTCTCTAAGGAAGAGATCAGAGCAAGGCTATCCTTTACGTTCTGCACAGAAGAAAGTTAGGCCTAGGAAAGGGGAAGTCTGTTTTCCATGGTAACGTGCCATTTCTGACTAGAGCTTTGGCTGGAAGCCGCCCTGCCCTTGCAGTAACTTCCCGCGCTTACAGCTTCTCGGGGCCCAGTTTGGCCTCACAGCGCCTGGTGC